TGCTCTCGTAATATTATTCAGGGGGGTGGGGGAATTATCAAGTGAAAGCGCCAAGCAATTACGACTATATAGCACTCGGAAGGGATCAGGATACGGATTTGGGATGGAATGGGGGAAAGGAATGGTGCCCAACCTCTTGGGCGGTCGGGGATTGAACGCGGACCTGTAGGAAACGAGACCGTCGCTCTACCATCCAGCCCAAGTAGTCAAGCGTAATATTATTAAAACAATACTTTATGCATATAATAACAGCATTTTACACTAAAAATACTTGGATATATTGAAATTTGGTAGTGAATTCCAATCTAGGAATCTCCTATGACTAAACTGTACTTTTTAATTATTTTTATGTACTTAGTACTTATTACTAAATTATTAAGAACTTACTATAATAATTAAATAAATTATTTTATTTAATATGTAAATTAAATGATAAAATAATAGGTAATAATAAATGATTGTGTAGGGGGACAGGCAGCCAGTGTATATATACATGTTAGGCTTATACCAAGGTGCCACAAAGGTGCCACAAAGGTGCCAAATTAAAGACTGGGAGCTGCCGGGGCGGGCCCAAGGGCTGCTGGCGGCCCTGATGGCCAGGCTGAACTTCCGCGCCCTTATAATCACCATTGTTTAATAATCTTCACAGGGAGAAACAACTGTAAATATAGGAATAGTTTATTACAACATACACGGTAAAGAAAACAGCTCGGAAACTAAGGAAATAAAGCTGCCGATAAAACATTAAAGTCCACTTCAAGTTCAAGTATGTTTATTGAGACAATAAAAAAATACATCTCAAAGGGATAGAGTAGCTTAGGCTATTTCTACCCCCCCCCCCCTCTACTTCAAGTCCCTCATGGGGCGCACAAATTCAGTGAGTACAAATACACAAATCACAATACAAGAATCCCATTTAACATAACAGGTTAAAATAGGAAGCACAGCATACAAGTGTTACAAGTTACAAGGGAACAAGTGAGATGGCGGTGGAGGCCAAAACCGAAATTGCTCATTGATTGTAAGCGAGATATGTCGTGGTTATCATAATATAAAGATGTTAAGGCACAAAAACCTTTTTATTCGTTAAATTTTATAAGGCAATTAAAAGAACCTAACTCACAGCCCCTCTGTTCAAGTCCCAAATTGTCAAAATTTGAAATTTTTCAAATTTTGAAAAAAAGGGCTACTCTTATTACAAATTCGCTACTTTTAGACCGTCAGCTCGCTACTTTTAGCAATATAGATCTGGCAACTGTGTCTGGAACGAGACGGCAGCATGGAGCCGAGGGGACATATATGACCCAGGGGGGTAGGAATCTCCGTTGTTACGGGCTATTCATGCCCGTGCCACCTCTTGGGTGGCTTAATATTTATCAATCAATCAATCTCCGTTGCTCTGGGGATCACGTTAGCTCGGAGCAACGATGGGACGTTGATAACGTGCACAACGCTGGAGGCTGTGGTTTTTTTCGATGTGTGTGACAGCCATCCGGCCGGCAAAGCAACCCGACAGCTGGCCAGCCAGACAGCCAGCCGGTCCTCCAGCTGGCTGGCTGACTATTCCTCCAGTAGGAATAGTAATGAAGAGAGAGATAATGGTAATAGTGAGTCATACTGGAGACGAGGGCAGGAATAGTGATACGGACAGACAAAGATGATAACAAGAGAAGACTGCACCACCTTAACACGTCTCACAAGGACAAAAACACTCTACCAGAAAGTAGTATGACTGCTACATTGTCTTCTACCGTCCATCAAAATGATTGCTGCAAATTAAACAAACAATATATACTAATAATAGCACAGAAAAGTATTGAGACATCTTCAGATATTCAATTGGAACATTGTTTCCCTTAGAAAACAATAATAATTTGATGGCCTGAACAAGGTTACGAACCAGGAACACTGATATTGTCCGCCTGCACAACAGGCAAACACTTTCTGGTAAATACTCACGTAAATCACCCAACCCTCAGTGTTTGAATATCATTACCACAACAGCCTCTCAAAAAATAAATGCGCGGGTAAACGGCGAGAGTAAACATAAAAACTCTACGGAAAGCATATCCCCAAGTTTATTTCAGACTTCGTGATAATCGTAGAGTGGGGGATTGGGTGGATTGGCACCCCCCTCTCTCTCGACCAATCAGACCGACGTCGACCAATCCAGATCCATATTTCATGGATCCTATACATCCTCCTAAGAATATATTTAATTCACCTGAATTTACCTGAGGGCCACTAACACTAGTGGCCTCGACGAAGACAGGAAGCCGGCGGTTCGTCGAAGGTCCCCCCTATTTGCCTCATTTATGTCAAGGTTAGAGGTGAAGTATAGTTCAGTATAGATCGATGTATAGCCTACAGACGAGGATTGTGGAAGAGTGTATGCTTAATAGTTTATGTGGTTTGAATAAAGGTGATGGTGGCTTAAGGCGGTATTACAGAGATCCTAGAAGTGAGCTGTAGATACATGAAATTGAAATTGAAATAAGTTTATTGAGGTAAAATACACACAAAGGGATGAGTGTATTTTACCTCAATAAACTTATTTCAATTGAGTGAGAAGTACATAACAGAGTATACATAGGAGGCTACAAAATAACGGATCTTAGAAAGAATATGTATAGTTGTAGGAACATTTCAGTTACATGATACAGTTCAAACCTTTAATCTTACCTCAGATGCGGTACCAGTCATCGAAGAACTTTGAGCGAAGGAAATTTACTGGCTAACGAAGGACGTACTGGCCACCACCACAGGCGCTGGTCTAAGCCAGGGACTGATGCTACACCTGTGCTCTCACCCTCCTCCCTCCCCGCCCCCCCTCCCATCCCCGCAAAAATACATGTTTCCCTCTCCCACACCTGGCCACCAACATACGTGACTGTATACCACAGTATCAACACATAGCCTACTCTTCCTCTGCACGAGAGACATCTCCCGTCACGCAGGGTTCAGTCGCACCTCCACAGATCTCCAGTATCAGTTTTTGATACTGGTAATGGCTCAAAAGGGCTACCACTTACGGGCTATTCATGCCCGTGCCACTTTTTGGGTGGCTTAATTTTCATCAATCAATCAATCATCTTCCTCTGTTCTAGCCACAAAAGCAAGTTAGCTAAACAGGGGAAACACAAACTGTCAGTTTGCGCTTGGCGGGTTGTAGTCCTAATGGCACGGGTTCGATTCTCAGAGTTCGCGGAAACAAATGGGCAGAGTTTCTTTTCACCCTGATGTCCTGTTCACCTAGCAGTAAATACATACCTGAGAGTTAGACAGCTGCTACGGGCTGCTTCCTGAGGATGTGTGTGTTTCAGAGAATAATATATGTAGTAAATATAATAGAGGAAAAATAGATTTGTTAGAAAGGTGGGGTCCAAGAGCTTGATTCTGCAGAAACAAATGGTAAAACACACACACACACACACACTTATTAATCGTAGGATCTCCTCAACCCTGAAGGTGTACATTGTCTAATAAAGGTTTCGCTAGGTGGTTTCGGGTTAGGTTTCGCATAGACACAATCAAATAAGTAAACGAGATAAGTCATACAATTTCTCTACATATAGTACAGATACATGGTCATATGAGTGGATATTGAGTACATCAACCTCGATATTTTACATACATAATGGTCCAACTATATAGGCGTTTACCTAATAATAGTCCTAATACATTTTCTTTAAACCCGTACATAGACATGAATACATTTTACCATGATGAATGGGATTCTTGTAATGTTATTTGTCTATTTGTACTCACTGAATTTGTGCGCCCCTTGAGGGACTTGAAGTAGAAGGGGGTAGAAGTAGCCTAAGCTACTCTATCCCTTTGAGATGTATTTCTTTCTTGTCTCAATAAACATACTTGAACTTGAACCATGATGAAGGTAAGTGACATTGATACAACACTGTAACCAGGCATGACAGTGAAACTTATAAAATACTGAACGAGTTAGAGGATGTTGATCCGGACAATTTCTTCAATCAGTCAGCTGTAACACAAACAAGGACCGACGGTTGCAAGCTCAACAAGCCACAATGTAAGACTGAGAGCAGATGATGCTTTTTCATCCACAGGATTATGAACCCATAGAACCGCCTACCCGCCGAAGCCACACTTGCCATGATATTGAACATAAGAATAATGGAAACTGCAGAAGGCTCACTTGCTCACATTGATTATGATTAAGCCACCCAAGAGGTGGCACGGGCATGAATAGCCCGTAAACTTGCTCACACGAGGCAGCTCCTATTTATAGCCACCCAATCCCACTCATATACATGTCCAACCCACGTTTGAAACAATCAAGGGACCCCACCTCCACCACGTTACGCGGTAATTGGTTCCATAAATCAACAACCCTGTTACTGAACCAGTATTTACCCCAGGTCTTTCCTAAATCTAAGCTTATTCAATTTATACCCATTATTTCGCGTTCTGCCTTGCGTTGATACTTTTAATACCCTATTAATATCCCCCCTTTGTTATGTCCATTCATCCACTTATAAACCTCTATCATGTCACCCCTAACTCTTCGACTTTCCAGTGAATGCAGTTTAAGCTTTGTTAATCTTTCTTCATATGACAGGTTTCTAATTTGGGGAATTAACTTTGTCATCCTACGCTGGACACGTTGAAGTGAATTTATATCCATTCTATAGTATGGCGACCAAAACTGAACAATTTATTGTAATGACATTATAATCTCTTAGATATAAATAAATCTATATCTATAAATTTATTATTTATTTCTTCTTCTTGATAGTAGATGCAGTTTGCATGAAGGGTTTGTCCTCCAGATGACTGCACATTATTTATTTATTTATTTATTTACAAAAATAGTTAGTTGAATTGTAGACATTGCCAGAAAGAATATATGCGTGTTATTGCATTTGAGAACGGATTGTAGCGTTTGCCTACCAACCGCTACATTATCATTTACACACAAAAATAAATACAAAAGTTATACTCTCTGTAAATGCATAAAAAATGTATTAAATTGGGGAGAAAAACTGAAGAGATGTTGTGATGTTGAGGGACGTGGCAACCCTGTGAGCATCAGCTGTGAGGAGAGTCAGCTGTCTGGACCATCAGCTGGCTGGAGCGGCTTGTCAACAATATATCTTCTTTTTCCCACTGTGAACGACGGTGCGACCTGGTATTATTATACATGGGTTTACCTTCCCTTGCAGTTGTTGTGGTGTAGGTTACAGTGTAATATTGGGTCCCGGTAGTACTGTCGGCCTCGTTCTCGACTCACACTCAAGAATCCCGGGCAAGACGGAACTGGTTGGGCGCGTTTCCTCTCTCCGGATCCTCTCACAGCCTCCAGCAGCCTGTTGTGGGGTTGCATCTTGGGGAGGGTCAGTAATTCAATCCTGGGGGGGGGGGGGTTTGAACCGATATAAGCCTAACATGTAAGATGCTTTTTCACCCCACAGGGTTTTAAACCCACGGAACCGCCTACCCTCCTAAGCCGTAAATGCCAAAACTCTGTTAAATTTTAAAGTCAAGCAGGGTAAATGGGGGGGGGGGGACCCTCGACAAGCTGCCTGCTTTCCGTCCTCGTCGATGCCACTAGTGTTAGTGGCCCTCGGGTAAATCGGGTAAATGTACTGTATTTACTGGCTGCCTGTTTCCCCGACACAATTAATTATAATTCCAGTATCTTGCCTCCCGTAGTCATTGCTAGGTAAGCATGTTGTAGGTTACTGTGTAACATTACCTCGAGGGTAATGTTACCCTCGAGGGAAGGTAATCGAGGAATGAGGGAGGAACTGCAAACAACACCTGGAGAGAGTTGATAGGTGATTAGGGCCTGAAAGCATCATGGGAAAATTTCAAAAAGGTCATTACTGAACTTATTCAAAAGTGTCCCAAAGGGAGAAAGGAAAAAAAGGAACTAGATGGATGACAGTAAAAAAGAGCTTTGATAACTAAGCGGATCCTCTGGAGAAGGTATAAATCCATGATGAACATCATTGATTATGAGGTATATAAAAGGGCACTAAACTTGACCACCCAGGAAATCAGATCAGTCAAAAGAAACTACGAAAGAACACTTGCCAAAACATAAAGAAAAATCCTAAGTCGTCCTATGCCTATACAAGAAGTAAAACGAAAACAAAAGACTTGGCAGGACCTTTTGAAAGATGTGACTAACCAAATTATAATGGACGAATAAGAGGAAACAAACACTGAATGAATCGACACTTTCCTTACACATACGGGGCATAACTGGCCGACCTCTTACAGTGTTCAAAAGAGAACTCGACATACACCTTGAAAGGATATGTAAGCAACCAGGTTGTCACTCATTCGTCAGGCTGCAAGCAGCCACATCAAACAGCCTGGTTGATCAGACCAGCAACCAGGAGGCCTGGTCAGATACCAGACTGCGTGGACATTGATCCTCGAAATCTCCAACAAGTAGTCAACAGGCAGGTAGATAAGGGCACATTCAGCATGTGAGAGGACAAGATGATGGAAGTTGCTAATGTGATGCACTGTACAGTATGTGGCAGGAGGACGTGATGGAGGAGGCTAATGTAGTACTGTACAGTATATGGCCAGAGCAACAGAATGGCAGATGTGATGTAATGTGATATGTGGAGTGTTTTCTTAGGCCTAGTTATTATTGAAAATTTCAACACTAGGACCTGTGAAGTTTTGAGTTCGTTATAGTATCGAGTGCAAAATAAGCTAGGACATATGAATTAAACAGAAAGGAAATGTTGGTTACTGTTTTGATCATGTAGTATTTAAAGGCAAATTGAACCATAACCATTTTTCATTTCTTGGTCTACAAAATTTGTGTTTTTTCATGTTTCACAATTATTTTTTTAGATAGTTTTACATGTTCCCTTCCAAACATTTAGCAACTACTGTGATCATGCAGTGAGGAGTTTGTGCAGAGCAAGGCTCGCCTGGAATGCATCCTTTGCACTGTGCTTTATTTTCCACATAAAGTTGTATAGAATAAATAATGCCAGTTGACAGCTATTCAGCATTCTGCTTTACATAATACATCTGTGATGAGCCATTTATCAAAATTTGCCTTATCTTGTTTTGCAGACATGGCCAGTCATATGATTGCAGATGTAGGATCACTTACTTTCAACCTCGTAAAATTTTTAAACCCAAGTTTTTGTGCTCCACCTCGACGCTTAAGTTTTTCCACCACATCTGTTTTTCCAAATGGAAATCGAGTCATGCAAAGAGGAACCTATTCAGGAGCGGAGCAACATGTTCGAGGTCCCCCACAAATGAAAAGCCGTATTCCTGTTCATAATTCGCTACTCTGCGTTACGATGAAGAAGCAGCCATTCTATGATGATAAGGAAAGATTGCTTTTTACCTCCTTACTTGGTAAATTTGAATTTTGTTTTGTTTTGCTATAAGTTCTGATTCTGGTTTAATAATTTTAATATCCGGTTCTCAAAATAATGGAAACCTTTAAATATAGGAATGAAATTACTATTAGAAATAGTTCAATGTAATCTAGAACTGAAGACCTGAATTCCAAAAACAAAGAAATTCTGCGTAGCAATTTGTAACTGATTGTGGTTTCCAGTATTTTAATATTGTTTTGCTTGTATTAATAAATAATATTTGACAAATATTTATTTTTATGCTTTACTGTACTATAAATTACACAGTGCAATTAGTATGACATTTTCTTGTGGATGGCCCAGTACAGTACTACAAAGACTGAACATATCCAAGCAGAATCAAAATATAATATGACATGGTACTACGTCATGCTGCCTGTTCATTTTCTCCAGCCAATTAACTGACCTTAGTGTTTAAGGCCTAAAGTTTGTGCCACTATTTCATCTACAGACTGTAATTGCACCACTCACAAACTTTATGAGCTGCTTCATTTTGAGTTTTTTTTGGTCAAATGGTAACCACAGTGCCAGCCACTTGTCTTCTCAGCAAGATAGTTTTATTTAATAACTCCGTCCTCTTGCTTACCTACGGTAAGGAAGCTCCTCTTATCCTAACCTGATTTACCATTACTATTGTTTCATCAGATGATATAGTCATGATCTCCAAATAATATATCAAGAAAAATTGGTGAAAAAGCTCTAGAAATGAGAGGTCAGACTGTTTTCACTCACAAGGAAAACATATTGTCTGTATGCATGCACTCATATTAGGGCTGTGTGCCACAAAACACCTTCACATATAGAAGTTTTGTATAACGTAAAGTACAGTTTGCTTCCACATCTGAAGTAATCGACTGATGTTGCTACTCCCTTGTTCTTTGCTCATTCTTCTACCAGTTTGTGCAACACTACAAAGTTATCTCTTGGTTCGTGTTGCCAATGTTTCTCCTCGTGTTATTCCATCTTTGCCCCCATGGAGGGTCCCTCTTCCTAAGCTTTGTAGAACCTTGACCCGCATGACTTAAAGCTTTTACCCCTTCTACAGTTCTGAAATGCCTTTTCCTTGCTCACTTTTCTTCACACTCTAGCTCCATCTCCATCTTCATAGATGGGTCTAAGTCTGCTGGTGGTGTAGGCTACTCTGTTGTGTTTCCTGACTGCACCTATATGTGTCGCCTGCCTCTTGAGACTAACATCTTTATGGCTGAACTTTATGCAGTTTGTTTGATCTTCTTCAACTACTTTCTCGCAGTAATTCTTCCTTTGTTGTTGTAGTTGACTCTCTCAGTGCCCTCATGGCTCAGGAGTCCTTTAATTCTGTCTATCCTGTGGTCGTCGAAATTCAATATTGGCTGTTTATCTCTAGCAGATTTAAGACAGTAGAGTTTTGCTGGGTTTCCAGCCATATTGGCGTTTCCTTAAATGAGCATGCAGACGCTGCCGCGAAGGAGGCTGTCCACACTTGTCCTATTTCCCGCAAAGGTGTTCCTTATTTTGACTTCTATCCAGTTATTAACTCCTCGATCCATGCCCGTTGGCAGGATCACTGGTCTTCTGTTACTGGTAACAAGCTGCATGCTCTTAAAGGTAGTGTGCCCCGTTGCCTTTCTTCTACCGCCGTAACTGGTGATGGGAAATGGCTCTGGCAAGATTACATATTGGCCATACCCATTTAACTCACGGGCACTTAATAGAGCGCCGCCCTGCTCCTTATTGTCCGAGCTGCATTGTCCCTCTTACAGTTGTGCATATCCTTGTTGAATGTCCTGACTTCCAGGATGTGCGTGCATCTTGCTTCCCAACCGTCCCTCACGGTCACCTGTTCCTCGATATATCCTTGGTGAATCGGATGCCTTTGATGTTGTTTGCCTCATGCACTTTTGTTCTCGTATTGGCATCCTAATTGATATTTAATGCCTTGATGGTGCTACATAGCTTTCCCGGCTTAGTGCCTTCTTTTGGTAATTACTTGTGCAACACCACACACCTGCATAGCATGCCTAATCCAACATCCATTTGTATAGCTCACACATGACCTCATGATTCATGTGGTTACTCTCTCATTTTGTACTCATCAGCCAACTAGTTTTTCTCAACATTTGTACTCACTTTTTGCATCTTTATAGCTCACCAGCCTTCCATTGTTGTTCAGTCTTGTATAACACTATCATGTGAGGAGACAAACCACCAGATATAACTCTTATTGTCTGCTTTACAAATATATTTAAATACATTTCTACAAGTACATTGAGCAGAAAATAATAAGACACAAGTAGCACATTACTATGTGCTACTGTTATGAACATCTTTGTGTAATTAATCTAATAATAATAATAATAATATACAGTATAACCTATTCATTGTTCACACATTTCATTCTGCATTTCATAATTTTTTCTTTCACTCATGCTATAGTAATTTCTACCATTTTCATTTGCTCATTTCCTCTTAAGACTGACGTTTCACATCCTCTCTCATCATTTCTACCCTCTTTTAAAAACTTTCAACACTTCCAGTATTTTTTGTTCACTTACTCCCCTTCACAGTCCACATAGCTACATGGGCCTATGTGGCTCATTTAGCTGTGTATAAGTGACAATCTCTCTTCTTGTAGGTCAGCATTCAATCCCTGACCGTCTTAAGTGGTTGGGCACCATTCCTTTGCCCTGTCCCATCCAAAATCCTTATCCTGATCCCTTCCAAGTGCTATAAAGTTGTAATGACTTTGTGCTTTCAACTCAAAATTGCCCTACCTTCTAGGCTCTAGGCAAGTATGAAGCCTTACTTTGCTCCTCATCTCTTGTGCCTATTTATTGCCTGTCTCTACTTCCTCATCACAATCGACTTGAGAATGGTCCAGGACGGACCGAAACGTCATCGTCCCTTCACATTCTAGTGTGTGGTTTGGTCATTATGAAGCCATTAATCCTAGGTTGATTTTTGCCCTTTGTAATTAAGTTTAGGAAGACAAGTGGCCAGCTTGTCATTTCAACTCCTCCATTGCTGGAGAATATGAGCCGTTTTGCATAACATAGTGGCAGAAAACATTGCCAGTGTTAAGCTGGTAATGTTTTCTGCCTCTATTATGATTTTTATTAGTGAAATTAAACTTTTCATTTGAAAATAAGTGGCAGGACAGATCTTGATTATGATGATTATTCAAATCTTGGTATACACACAAATCAAGGTACTGTACGGTAATGAAAAAAGTTATGATCTAATAAAACTTAATTTTGTGCTTTTAGATAAATTTCTTTATGGAATCTTTGGCTTGCATCATGGCATACCAAGTACCAAATATAAAGGCTGCAGAGAACTGTAAACTAAATGCTATTTTTACTGCATTGTATATCTAAAATTGGTAATGGTGTTATGTGGTGTAAATTAATGTGTCAAGGATTAAGTATTTAGTACTATGTTGCTGGATTGATGTTACTAAATGTACGAACAAATGAGTTTTTGGCGATGTAGCTATCTCCTCCTTGCTTGTTGAATTAATTTGGTTAAAGAATAATCATCATTGTCTTCTAGGCAGATTGAGGCACCATTCCTGCACTCAGTGATGCTTTGTCATTTTCATACATCACGGTTATATGTCTGCAACACAAATAGAGATCACGGGTGGTTTTAACTGGGATTTGTTTTTTCCACTTAGCATGGATATTAACATTTATAATGAATTAATTTATGTGTGCATTTATGCCCAATTTTTTTTTTCTTCAGCACCAATATTCGCTATCAACCAGACTTTCAAATTTTATATTAATGAAAATGCTGCCAAGGCTGTTGATGGACAGGATAACCTGGTAATGATTTTCAGTATTTTGTTGAGGGAGAAATGATTTGCTTTGTATAAAGACTAGGTATGCCTATATACACATAAACTTTTTTATTTGCAAGTATTCACCACATTTTATCATTATAGATTTTGCTGAGATTCTGTCGCATGGACTGTAGTACACCACAGGATGATCAATTTCCTCCTGGACTTCAGTTGTTTGTCAATGACTTGCCATTTGACACAAAGGTAAGGATATATTTGGTTGATGGGTCTAGATGCTTGTACAAATAAGACGAATCTAACACGAATTTCAAGAACGGCAAGCAGTTTTGCGGCGAGAGTGATTGGAAAAGCAGAAGTTTATGTAAATACTGTACAGTATTTAATGACTGATAAATTAGCATCAGGAGTAACAGGATTAGATATGAAACATTTTGATAATCTGAAGGTCTTTGATTTACAGTATTTTGATTCACTAAATATGAGCTGAAAAGCTTGTGAATTTAATTGCATTGTCAAATTTTGAGAGATTAGTAACATGATTCGAACAGTTTTAGACATATACCAATGGCTTAAAAACCATGCATAAAGGCCAAAAAATACAATTTGAATTACATTTGTTAGAAGTGCTACAAAGTGAATTTTGAGAAAAATGGAAAAAGTTGTACGATTCTCCTTGTCATTGTTTGCCTCCGACAGATTTATAGTTACACTATAAACTGGGAGCTGGTCGGCCGAGCGGACAGCACGCTGGACTTGTGATCCTGTGGTCCCGGGTTCGATCCCGGGGGCCGGCGAGAAACAATGGGCAGAGTTTCTTTCACCCTAGCAGTAAAATAGGTACCTGGGTGTTAGTCAGCTGTCACGGGCTGCTTCCTGGGGGTGGAGGCCTGGTCGAGGACCGGGCCGCGGGGACACTAAAAGCCCCGAAATCATCTCAAGATAACCTCAAGATAACACTTGACAGCAAATTTTGCCATGTTTACGTGTGCGCTATGACACTATTTATGGTCATTATTGCATTACAGTACTAAATTGTAATCAAATATATTATGCAATTAGATTTACTAATATTTTATTACTACTGTATTTAAAACAAATTATGTACAGTATTGATAAATGTCATAATATGTTTATTTGCAAAAACTGGTTTCTAAATCACTTAAAAATTTTCAATCATTTTCTAAATATAGAGTACTGTATTCAACATGTCAAAAGTTATATTTTCTCTTTTGCCATATTACTGTATTATTAAAATAATTTTTTACATTTTGACCAAAATGCTCTGCCTGTTAGTGGTTTTATTCATTGTACTTATCTTACTTTCTCCACTGTTCATGTATCAAATGTATGTACTTTTGTATCAATAAAATATTATTATTATTATTGTGAATATAGTGGTACTATAAAAAGTGGTATTTGTTCAGTAACTTGATCTCTAAGTGTGATCTAATGACAGCAGCGGGAACCCTTTGTAAGTGTGTGCAGGGTGTACACTTCATTCACATTACATTACATCAGGGTGTACATTATTCATTCACATTCACATAGCACAGGTCACAGAGTGACCTGTGCTATGCAAATCTTTAAGTTTGCAAGGAATGTATTCAGTGAATGGATTACTAAATGATCAATATACAAGAGGTACTGCATGTCGATGTTGGCCCTTTTTACTAATTATTGTCAATCTGATGACTAGGGTGGACCTTTTCCCATGGACATTACTTCCCTGTGTCACACCCGGAATAGAGGAAATATTATACAGGTACAGTAAAAAATTTTATCAATACTTTTATACATTTGCTAATTTCTGTTCAGTTATTACTGATTAAAAGCCCTTCTTCTTCTTGCCTCTTTATCTAGTGGTCATAATTCTTTATATTGTGTAAGTATTTAACATGCTTTGGACATCATAACTTGTTCTGTACTTGCGTTCTTTTCTATTGGATGCCTCGGCATCGCATACTGTGAAAAACAGTACTGTGTACATCAATACACAGTTCGGTACATAAATTATTACGCCGCTTCCAGCGGTGTAGTGACCTGCTCTGCTTAACAGAATTCTAAAAATAAGTCTCTGCAAAACATTGTATGATTTAAGACCTGTCTTTTTAGTGAGATCCCTTCTTACCATTTCTCATGTACACTTATTATGATTAGAAAGCTTTCCTACCTATCACACTTGTCTTGTGTTTATAGTTCTTAAGGACAGTTATTTACCAGACTGGTAAAAGTGGTTCTTGAGGTTCTTGGAGAGTGTGGGGGCTTAATTTCTAGCTAGCCTTGGAAAACTGCCTTCTCTTGAGCTGAAACCTGGCGAGTGAGCAAGAGTTGTCATTATCATTTATACTTATTTCTGATTTCCTATTGAACCTTAGATACTGAGAAATGTCATTGCCAGGCTTAAATTCTATAGGCTTGTGGATATACATTTTTGAATGTCTCTTATCCTTATCTTATCTCTTACCTCTATTTCCTAGTGACTTAAGAACACCGGTAGTAGTCTTAAAATTAAATTTTTGACTTATAACATTGGTTCAATGCTTTTCCTTCATGAATGTGCTACAAGATTGCCAAGCATTGCTAATCAATATGCTGTACCTCTAGTAATAGCAGAATGATTTGTTCAGAGATAAACGTTGTTTACCGGTAATTTTTAAAGAACATTATGGATAGTATTCGTGTTATTTTCAGGTGGTGACCAGTTCAGGAAATGGGATATATTATGTGATTAATATAACACGTGTGAAAAAGTTGACGGTTGATGACCTCGTTCAAAAGTTAAAGGCTAAGAAGCTCTTCGAAATCCAAGAAACCAAAGCTCTGAGTAAGTGTGTAGAGTTGTAAAGTTTATTCATAAATGTTGTCAATTTTTCAATCTGATTTTTAATCATATTCTGTACTGTCTCGAAAATAAATTTTGCTAGTTATTGCAGGACAACAGAATTTATGAGCATTGAGTTAGCACTGCAGCCAAAGTTATCGTTGAGTCTGTGGTTCTGGAGGTATTGTTTTGTAATGATACTGCCAATTACAAATGAATTAGTGTAAAGTTAAATATTAATACTGTACTGAAACTTAAAATATCATCCAGTAAATTAAGATTTTGTAAGAAGTTAGGAAATTGTTTTTCCATGATTAGAAATAGTGCACAAGTTGGGGGCTGATAATATACAGTAGAACCTTGGTATTTGAACAGCTCCCAAATTGAACATATATTTTTATAAAAATATATATGGGGAAAAATTGTTCAGTATTCGAAAATTTTGGCATTCGTCCCGCCTTCAGGAACCAATTACCGTAAGTTTGCATACTGAGGCTCCACTGTTTAATGGTTTGTAAATACGGTATTCAAAGTTTCTTGATACAGCCATGTTTTCATTTTAGATGTTAAATTTTGTTCTCATTTGTATACTAAATATTAAACTAATTTATGAAACATTTATGCAAAATGTAATTTTTCTTTTTGTTTAAGAAAATAAGTTGTGATAAGCTTATGTATTAATTTGTCCTCACCAGTCAAGAGAGGGTTGAATAACCCAAGCAGTGATGTGGAGACTACATCTGTCCAATGTTCTCTGATGTGCCCATTATCAATGACCAGGATAACGCTTCCCTGTCGAGCTACATCATGCAAGCATGTTCAAGTTTTTGATGGTCTTGTCTATCTTAGGATGAATGAGCAAAGAGCAAATTGGATTTGTCCTGTGTGTAATTCTTCAGCGCACTTCACCAATCTTGTAATTGATAGGTGAGGAAAATGTAATATATTTTTTCTAACTGGGTTTTTACTTTTTATGCATGTATATAAAAGTGTGTAATTTTAGTTTAACATTAATAAATGTGGTGTACGTTTGTACCCAAAGTAAAAATAAGGGTACAAGTGAAGTGAAAAGCTTCTTTCTGAATCTATCACTATGTTGGTCGTTTGAGTTAACAGCCTATATGGGGTCCACAGACATTCTGCTGACAAAGTGGCAGGGACAAGCTCACCCAAGATGATCAATAACATCTTGGATGTTACTAATAGTGTGATGGTAGGTCTTCAACTATGAGAGGGTTGAAGAGCTTATTACCTAGGCCACACGTGCATGCCTGGGAAGACTGGATGAAAAGTGAGGGAATGAGAGCAACCGAGGAATCAGTTCTTAGGAAGGTCTCATTTCACTTGATGCTCTATTTCCTAGTTAGTCATTCTCAAATCAAATCAAATGTTTATTCAGGTAAAAGTACATACATACAAGATAAGTTGCAAACATAATGTTGGATTTCTAGATGGAACTAGTACATACAATGCCTAAAGCCACTAATACGCACAGCATTTCAAGCTGTTGCTTGTTTGAGTCAGCTTCATTTAAAACAAGAAATATCTACTAAATAAAATCATAAGAAACAGGAGACTTGCCTGAGCAGGTGGAAGAGAAGGGCCACGGGGTGGAGAGAGAGACCGGCATAAAGAAGGCAGACAGCCGAACAGGATTCAAATAGGAGAGGTAGCCCAGGGCACTAATATTCTGTATTTCTCAGTTACTGAATGGGGACTAGTATGGGGCTGCCTAATACTCACCACTCTGAAGGAGATGGGACAGACAAGCCTTGTTTAAACTGTGCATACTTTCCCAGTTTTGCATTGTTTCTTGATGTAAACACATTTTATTGTTTGGTTTTCTTCAGATATTTTCAGAATATTTTAAAGGAAGCAAACACTTGTAACAAGATCAATTTCCTGCATGATGGCAAGTGGACTCCAGTGGTAAACAATGACCACAAAGAAAATCCAACTACACAGCAGAGAGTTGCCAAGAAGAGGGTTGTTGATGAAGTCATTGTCATTGATAGCGATGACGAAGCCTGTCGTGAAGGAAATGGTAGTGAATATTTGTATGTACTCGCATATTTGTACTCGATTAGTTAAGCTTGCAGCATTGAGTGTTAGCTCTTGGATCCCACCTTTCTAGCTGCCCGTTGTCTACTTAGTCGGCCAGCCAGAGGCTTAGGGCCCACGCAGGAATATCCCTCTGCCCCCCCCCTCAAAAAAAAAAGAGCAATGACCCCCCCCCTCCCTGGCTTATTTCCCTATTATCACTACTTTCATGCTAAATTTAAAATTCCTAATATTTGACTCATCGGAGACACTAGCTTCCACCTATGCCCCTTTATTTTAGTTGTATTCATTTTTAACATTTCCTGTATTTCCTCTGTCAATTCTCCTGAGTATTTTGTAAGTCTCTATTAGGTCTCCCTCATTTTTTCTAGTTGTCAGGTTTAGTTCCTTCAGTTTCTTCATAACCCATCCCTCAAAATTCTGGAAGGAGCCTTGTCGTAAACTTCTGACCCTTTTCTTGTGCGTTTCCTAAGGTGGTGGCTCCACAATGGGGTGGCTTACTCTTAAGACAGGTCTCATGTGAAGACAGGTCTTCACAAAATCCATTTTCCTTGCAATTTTGTTAATTTCATTCTTAAATTTATTATTATTTTTTTTTTAAGAATGCTTTGACTTCAGTAAGAATGTTATTTCACTTGTAGTCTGGAAAAGCAATGAAACTGGAAGTGAAACATCATTACGTGGAGTTGGAAGAGGAACACACACAGCATTACCTGCTCCCAAACGTTGTCGTAGGATCTCTCAAGCAGACTGCTCCAAAAATTGTAAGCCAGTGTTTTGTGTTACAGGATATTGTAGTCTAATTTATTAGTACTGTATCTGTTTATATTGATGGGTGTATAAGCCACTTTTAAAAAAATGTTGCCACATGAAATTAGTAAAAGGTTTTGTTGTCGAGCATCGTGAAAAGTACATCATTGAATTTGCATTTTTTTTTTTTTTTTTTTTTTTTTTTTTTTTTTTATATAAATTTGTGCCAGCCTATCTATGCTCATGACTTAATTTGATTATATATTGATTATATAAAAATAATTAATTTCCCTGGGCAATACTTTGTCTTTTAAGTGTTCACTGGTGGCCTGTAGTCTACTAATTTCTGTACTGTTACCTTCTTGTTTCACTAGGTTTGGGGTTTCCATGGTAATAATCCTGCTGATAGTCCTGTGGCGCAGTGGTAAAGCACTTGCCTGACACTTTGCGAGCACTTTGGCCTAGGTTAAAATAAGAACTAGGTGCCAGTTCTGAACTATAGCCTCTGTTCACCCAGCAGTGATTGGGTACATGGTTGTTAGATGATTTGGCGGGTCGTATTCTGGGGAAGAGATTAGGATTAAGGACCTGCCCTAAATGCTATGCATGCTAGTGACTTTACAATAACGTAAGAACTCTTGCATATAATAAAAAAAAAAATGTGATGCATGCTCCAGAACTGGTTCAATATAAATTGTGTAAAACAGTATTTTGAAGGATTTGGTGGTTTAGATTATAAATGGGTGTTTTTCAATGAGATAAACCTTTGCACATGGTTCTAGTGTTATTGCATTTATGTGCATCTAGTGTGAGACTTGGTTTGGTATCCACTCTGAGGACATTTTAGTTTGCCGAGGCTTCTAGTTGTCTACAACTTGGTCTGTATTAGTCTTCTGGTCTTTTCTCCCCTCATTTTCTTGCATATTGATTTACTCTTAGTAGCCTTTATCTGGTAGTTTTGCACCTAGTGTAAAACCCTTCCTATGTTTTACCATTTGTTATATCAATGTTTTGTGAGAATTGGCATCCAAGATGTGGGGCATCTGTTCTGCTCTCCTTCCTGAATTTGTTTACTGTTTAATGTTGTGTGTTGGACATAATTTTTCTTTCCTGAATCCATGTTTAATTAAGGGAGTCACCTCCTTGTGGAGTACCTAGTTCAAAGTCTCTTATTACACCCTTATGTCCCTGGAACAATGAAATGCAATTCAGCACTAACCTCATGTCTTGGTTACTTTTTTATTGGTCGTGTTATAAGTGTGGTTAAACATTCAGATCTTCTATTCTCGCAATTCAATATATTTAGCGAGATAGGAAAAAACAGTTAAGTCAATCTTAATTTTTCGCCATTTAGAAATTAATTTAAATGAATTAAAGCTTTATTGCAGGCATTCTTTTAATATTTTCATCAACTGACTTGAATCATTGTCGAGTTTGTTGAATTTTTTCTGGACTCGATAACCTAAGCTTATTCAATGTGGTGAAATAAATCTGGCAGCGTTTTTGTTCAATACAGCAGCTTGGCAAATTGAGCAACATAGACTTCCCGGCTTGGTGCCTTCTTTTGATAATTACTTATTTGGCAAATTGAGAGTTAACTTTAATATATTTTGCACTGTACTTTATATTTTGTTTTTCCATGAAATATCCTTGAATATCACACAAACTACAGTATAATGGGCTATAAGTAGCCATTTTGGCTTAGCACTTTTTGATAATTACTTGTAGGATATTGAGTAAATGAAATGAAAACATTAGTTTTTGTGACAGTATATTTCTTATTAGGCATGTAGGTTGGTGGTCAAAATGTTAGCATGGTATGGTTTTGTGCATTTCCAGATTTTTGAGGTTCGTCTCCACAGTATGTGGCAATTTGTGAAGTTTACTCACTTACCAGGTGAATAGCGAGTCACTAGGGGTACTGTACACCTGGTTATATGTAATGATTCACCAGCAGCACTGGATACTGCTGTGGATGCTTTGTTGGATATTGGAGGAGAGGGTTATCTTGAGGTTATCTTGAGATGATTTTGGGGCTTTAGTGTCCCCGTGGCCCGGTCCTCGACCAGGCCTCCACCCCCAGGAAGCAGCCCATGACAGCTGACTAACACCCAGGTACCTATTTTACTGGTAGGTAACAGGGGCATAGGGTGAAAGAAACTCTGCCCATTGTTTCTCGCCGGCGCCTGGGATCGAACCCAGGACCACAGGATCAGAAATCCAGCGTGCTGTCCGCTCGGCTGACCGGCTCCCTTAGGGTTCTCAGTGATGCTGTAGTGTGTAAGATACCATGCATGAATAAGTGCAACATTTAGCATTTCTGAATCTTTTTCTACCTTTACAGCTTTCCTATAGTGTCAGGTTGATGCCATCTCATTAAAGGAAGGTACTGTAGTAGGATAATAATGATTCTTTCCTCCTAACTTGGAATGGTATTCTGAGAAAGCATTGGTAGTAGTACTGTACTGTTTTGTTTGCATTTTAACCTTTATTCTCAACGAATTTGCTTGAAACGTGTAACAAATGTTTCATGTTACCATCCAACCAGGTGGGCCATCATTGAGGAGAGGCAGAAAGAGGATTACAAGGAATAGTAGCAAGTCTGTCAAAGGAAGATAAAACTGTCCTGGGAGGTCATTTTAATGTACCTCTACTTCAAATTTTTAAGTTACTTTTAAAGTTAACAACGTGGTCAAAGTAGGGGAAAGCTGTATAGGGGGTGATCGAGGATTTCCCTATACTGTACTGTATTATAATTGGAGTTCTTGGTGGCTGTGTTAGAATATGGAAGAAAGCTGCATTGAGGCTCCTCCATTTGTATTGAATTTTAATGTTTATATTTTGTTCAAGTTCTTAGCTACCAGTTTGTATTATAAATGTAACTTTCTTATTCCTTTTTCTTATGTACTCTACAGAGTTATTATAAAATTAATAAGGTTTGATGTGAGGGGAATTTTTGCAGGCGGCTATCAAATAGTTTTTCAGTAAATTCTTTGTTTTAAAATATTATTATTTGAGATGAATGAATAGACCTTATATATACTGCAGCCTTTCCACTTCTAAATATTCTAATACTTAGGATTGTTTTGGAAATTATTGAATTCTTCAATTATTTCAATTCTTAAGATGATTGAATTCTTTTCATAGACTTATTTCCCATCATTAATTGCTATAGTTATATTTATATACATTTTATTTTTTCAAGTGTATACTAGTACAGTACTTGAAGCCTGCATGAATCAATGAAGTGTGGCAGGCTTCATTGAATATTATATACTTGCTGCACACTATACAAGCAGCGATGTGTGGGCCGGCGTGGCAGGCTTCACTAGACACTGTTGGTGTGTCTGCTGGTAATCCTGTACAGAAAGGTGTGTGCCTCTCATTAAAACTAATCATAGTTTTTTACCAAAGAATATTGTAATACTCATTCTATTCAAATTAACTATTTTTAATTACATATTAATAAAACTATATTTGTACCAAGAATGATTATTTTTATCTTTTGTTTATAATAATTACCCTCACTGTCTCATCACTTGGTATCTTTATTTTTCACATACTACTACTAAATTTTTTTGATGTTGGTACTTTGATGAAAGTTTTAACCATATAATGTGTATATAAGCCATCCACAGTAAATTTCACCATTTCTCCATTTCACAGTAAATTAGCAAGGCAATAGTGTTACTCTGAATGATTACTGTGGAGTAAAGCAGATGGCTTGCTCTGGGGGGTTATCTTGGTTATCTTGATGATTTCGGGGCTTTTTAGTGTCCCCGCGGCCCGGTCCTCGACCAGGCGTCCACCCCCCAGGAAGCAGCCCGTGGCAGCTGACTAACTCCCAGGTATCTATTTTACTGCTAGGTAACAGGGGCTTAGGGTGAAAGAAACTCTGCCCATTGTTTCTCGCCGGCGCCTGGGATCGAACCCAGGACCACAAGTCCAGCGTGCTGTCCGCTCGGCCGACCGGCTCCCCAAGGGGGAGGGGGAATGGATTAGGTTGGTGTACAGTAATAATATTTAAAGTATATACAGTACTGTATATACACACAAGCTTTGTCACAGACAAATGACAAAATAAGCATCTAACCTACATTTGGAACACTCCAGCAATCTCATGTGTATTATGTTCAGCAATTTGTGCCATAAACCAAGAGCCTGTTACCAAACTAATAATAGCAGTGTGATTTACTCATATGTACTGAACATATTATAGTGCATACAGTATAATGTACATTGGAAAATTTTTGTCAAGACAACTTCTGGGGAATTGTATATTAGCTTCGTTCACATTCTTGACAATTTTAGCATTTTCAATCTTATTTAAGCTGCATTAGTGTTGAATAACCCATCTATTAGTGCTGGGGCTCCTGGCCCAAATTCTAATTGAAAAATGAATAATTTTTATAACTTTCCCTTAGTCTACTTCCTTCAACTAGGTTTAGATCACTTGTGATTTGTCTCGTGATTTCATTCAACCTATGATTCTACATTATGAGAGCCCTAGCTCTCATAGCTGAATGTAATGCCTGCACCTCATGATTCATACATGTGTCCTGCAGTCATGCGAGGATCACTGGACATGCTTTGCAGCAAATTTCCTTTATCTTTATTCCGTCAACATTTAATTCCACGTGCAGGCATAATTGTGTCGCACCTAAACATAAAAGTTACTTTACAAAGTTGGATGTCGTCAAATTAGTCTAGAGAATGTGTAAATTAAAATACAATTGTATGTAAAAGGCGTATTGTATTCATACAATATATAATGTTTTTAGTTTTAGTTTACTTCATTTATTATGCACCCCATACCCATCTTGTGGGCGGTAGTGGAAAGGGTTATATAATGTTAAATGAACACATTTTGTGTATTGTAGACTCTTCAAATTTCTTCTAGTGTTACCCTTCACCTGAAAGTTGATGTGGTGCAAGTGGTTGCTGAGGGCTTCGCTCCATGTCTGTAGGAAAACGTTAATTATTGCAGTAATTTATCTGGAATAAGGTTAATTATTTTAAATAAAAATTATCAGTGAGTGAGTAACTATTTAGCTATGTCAGTATTCCAAATAACTGAAAGGAAGAGCATCAGATATTTAAGTACAGTACTGTAGATTTAATGACGTTTCATGAAAGAAATAATTGACAAAGGTACATGAAATATAATAAGTTGAAATTCGCTGACAGACCTTGAGCCTTGGGGTCATTCCAGGATTGCAGTTTGATCAGACCAAGTACTGTACATAGGGAGGCACTAATGAAGGCAATGGCAGTTGTAACAACAAAGACAGCCTTCCAGGTGCCTGGGGATGGCTAATGAGAGAGAGTTGCCCATACAGCATTACTGTCCACACATTAGAATATTGTGCACACATTGAATATTAGAATATATGTATAACAATTCACGAGTGTATTTTCCTGTGTTAAAATGTATTAATATGTGTAGGTAGTAAACGTAGTTAACATTTAAGCATCTCTTAAATCTTGTACCTTCTCTGATACATGGGGAACAAAACCATTAGTACACGCAGATGATACAGCTTGCATTGCCTTGAAATCCCCATTTATACCCAATCTCTTCTTATACAAGTTAACTCTGAAGTCTACACATGATGAACAGTGCTAATAATGCACTATTTTACTTGTTTATCAAGGAAAATGCCCCGGTGGATGATAAGAGCGTGTGTTAGTTGGGCACAGTGCCCATGCAGTGCCACCACTCTATTTACTACGTTTTTAGTAATTATATCTTTGGTCTTCAAAAAGCATCGAATCAGACAAGCAGGAGTATTCCATTATTCAAGGTAAATTAAAACAAGCTTACATTATTTTTTCCCAAATTTTGGCTTTATATGCTGACTTTTGGTAGTCTAGAAATGCATCCCCTATTGATACCATAGTGCCTATGAGAAATTGGTTCAGTTACAAATAGCTGACTTACAAACACCTTTATAGAATGCATTTCACTAAGTTGGGGATTGCCTGTATACCAATATTATAAAATAGTTATACACAAACAGTACAGTATGTTGAATTTTGCATGGTAGAAATATTAGTTCCCACAAATTTGTCTTAAAGTCTTGGAGTACAGTTGATGCCATTTCCATACAAGTTTACTCGACTTAATCTACTTAACATATGACAAAAATTAATACCCATTTGGGCTCTTTATTAACCAAAGAAAAGCCTTCAAAGCTGTAAATGACAATCACCTACTACAGTAATTAAACTAACATTAGTGAATTTTTAGCCACTCCTTTAATTATATCCAGCCATACCTCAACAACAGACACTAATATATACTGTAGCCTTTAAAACCACCTGTGAGTTAAAAGGCAAATACTGTAAGAGAGGCACCGAGGTGAACCCCATCACTTAACTTATGATAGGGATGTGTTCCTAATTTTGTCTTAAGTAGATCATTCTGAACTCTGAATGTGATTTTTTTCTAGCACAAGGCTATACAATTAATGGGAGTTTGGAATACAGTACTGTATTAAAAAACAAAAAATGTAAAGGTTTGACAAATACTGATTTTATTTACACTCCATTGCTTACTGGATATAATTATTGACAAGAAAAAGGTTTAATTTGTGAAGAATGATGAGGTGGAAGGTAACCCCAGCTTTTGTCAGAATTAGTTATGATTGAATTTATTTGTGCTGAACCCCTTCAAATGTCCTAAAATTCTAGCCATGTCTAATAATGATGCTGATTGTTGAATGGTTAATACTGTTCTCATGTACAATCTGTGTTAATGTTTCTCATTTCTTTGAGCGCCTTATGTTCTTTCATTCCACCTCCTCCCTCCATTAACACCCAACTCTCATAAGCATCATACCAAGTTCGTATGTGGTGAAACGTCTAGACCCATGGAGTGTACCCATTAAGTAATATTTATTGTTATTACTAATACAGTATTCTGTGGTGGTTTTTCTAAAGTATCTAGTGAAGAAGTAGTATACAGTTATGTAGCTTTATACATAAAAATTATTTTTAATTTTTGGGAGGATTAAACTAAATGTTTGATCACAATTACTGTACATGTCCATCCACAATTGGAGCCAAACTGATCAGACTGGAGGATGTTGAAAGTAAATATGTGAAGAAAGACATAAGTATACATACATTGTGCTGCATGAGGAAGCCTATAACCGCAGGCGCCAAAATGCCCGCTACCGCACCCACATTGTTGATGAACAACGTACTAGTACCATACATGGAAGGAGGCGTGTCCTGGTAGGCAAGGCCACTATTAAAGCTGATGCCCAAGCAACCCATGATCACACACAGTAAGCCAACTGTCATTTTCCAGTTGCAGCCCACAAAGCACATCACTGCCAGTGCCACTGCTGGCCCATAGGTTCCTGGTTGGGAAGATATCAAGTCAGTTAGGGCAGGCAGCGAGTCCATAAATATATAGACAGTGAGTCCATGTCTATACTATAAAAAAGAATGTCGGTTAGTTCAACGTTGGAGGCCATACTCTTAGGGCTAGCATCACCCAAACTGGTAGAGGGAATGGTCTAGGGTATGGGATAAACATAGGTTGGTCATGGTCCCCAAAATTACTGTTATATATATAATTATACACAAAACAGTTCTTACATTCTTGTACAGCCACTACCACCCGTAGCATTTCAGGCAAGTCCTTAATCCTATGTTCCCCGGAATACGACTCGCCAAATCATAAAATGGTAAAATTTTAGAATTATTGAAAGATTTTAAAATAATTGACAAGTATACAAGAGACATTTGTAAGCAACAGTTATTTTAACAGTAAACAATTCCTAATGTTAAAATTGTAGAAGAGATTTGAAAAATAAAAAGTTTGCTCTTTAGAAATGGCAGCATTTAGTAATAGTATATATGTATATGTGGTAATTAATAAGTAAAGTTCACAATAACAGCAAATCTCAGTTTGAAATGTAGGATGAGAAAAGGCGAGGAAAATGAGTTACATAAAGTTAATGAGGTAGTTCTTTGTCTGCCTGAAATGCTGTGTGTGTTAGTGGCTTTGCATGACTGTAAAAATGACAACCTTATATAATCTCACCAACCCATTTTACCTTGCAAATAAATTATTACTATTATTATTACTTCTCTCTTCCAGTTTAAACGAGAAACTATTTTTAATCTCATTAGCCCTTAAATGCTTAACTAAATTTCATTTAAATCAGTTAATTTTTGCAACATAAATTTTTGTTGGTTTATAGATTCTTAAGCAGAACTAAATGTTGCCCATTACCACTGCCTTAATGTTTATAAACATGATTAGTAATGCGTAAATGCTTATAAGCTTTGTTAGGAGCCTATGGGTTACAAATACTGTATATTGATAAGTGATTGTAAACTAACCAATGAAAATGGAGAGCCTGTGGTGTGCCCTGGTTGATAGCCAATTACCAGCGAGGAGGTGTCTCAGCCACACCCACGAGAGACTTGACACCCCCATCACCAAGTATGGCAAGGCACACATTAGTCCATTCTGGTACAAAGTTTGACAAAATAAACAAATTATTTAACTATAAAAAGTTGATAGCAAAGGATAAATTTCTAAGCTAAATAATATGTGGTGAGGTTTGGTCATGAAATTAAGATTTAGGCAAGAGTTATCAAACTCGTATATGTGTAAGCCTGTTGCAATGGAAATATTTTTTGTCTAAAACTAGCACTGAATATGGTTAACTCCCTACAATGATCAAATTGGTTTTATTCTCACATATACAAGTATCGTAAGTAAAATTGTTATAATTAAGACTTACATTTTTGATGTGGAAATGGTGTACAGTGCTGAGGTAAGATGGGAGACCAGACCAGAAAACCATAAATGTGAAGCTGGTGCCCAAGCTGGCCGACATGGTGGCCCAGAACTGTCCTGACTTCATCACCTCCGTCCAAGATATTCGCTCCACCTAGAGGACAAGTATAGACATGAACACTGGTGTGAAGCATTGACCTGATAACAATCATGAATCTTCTTAGAATGTCCTGTTTATTAGGATCATTGGAAATATTTTCCTACTGTTCTCCAATTTCATTGGGTCCCTTGACATAATCCTCAGTGAATCTGATCACTTGAACATCACTTGCCACGTGTCTTTTTGATCTCATAGTGGCATCCTGAATGATATCTAGGAATTTTAGAATATTCTGTGACAGGTAGAGCTATCTAGCTTCTAGCTGGTGATGAGGAAAAGTGCATCGTGGGGCATCACAATCTTCAGTCCTCTCGTCCATCCCCTTCAGGTCAGCCATCTTATGATCATCTTGCCATGGACCTCGTCGATGGCCTTCATACCGATAGGAGCTCCTAGGAGTGTGTTGTCTTCAAGTATGACTTTTTCACTCGTTTTTATCATATTTTGAATTAAAACCGTGTATCATTAAATTGGCTTTGCAATTTCCTCTTGTAGTTTGTGCCACTTCTTTATGATTGACTGAAAAAAATGTCTTTGAAATCTCTGACTCATGTGTGTTTCCAGTTTCCAATTATGTCCTCTTTTTCTATTGTGTATACCTAAGTGAAATTTCCTAAATGCAGTTATGGGATGAGAGCTACGCTCATGGTGTCCAATTTTCCCATGTCTGTACTCTGTCATATAATGCTTTGAAACAACTGATGGTTTTGGCCTCCACCACTTTGGTTACCTTGTTCCAACTATCTACTACTCTGCAAAAGTGAACTTTCTAATGTTTTTCAGCAGCTTTACCTTTCCTTAGTTTCAAACTATGTCATCTTGTTCTTGAAGTTGCCGTTTTCAAAATTCTTTCTTGATAATTTTATCGAGTCCTGTTGATCTAAAATCATGGGGGTAATTTAAAATCCATGGGGGCCTGATGGCTGAGTGGACAGCGTTTGGGGTTCGTAGTCCTAAGGTCCGGGTTTGATCCCCGGCAAAAGACAAACAAATTGGCAGAGTTTCTTTCAACCTGATGCCTCTGATACCTAACAGTAAATAGGTACCTGGGAGTTAGATAGCTGTTATGAGCTGCTTCCTGGGGATGTGCATGTGTGAAAATTAGGATTAAGGACGTGTCCAAAACACTATGCGTGCTGGTGGCTGTACAAGAATGTAAGAACTCGTATATATAAATAAATAATAATAAAAAGATCACCTTTATCTTCTATCTTTTTAATATTTAATGCCTCTAGTGTCTCTTCATAACTCTTGTTTTTCAGTTCTGGAGCCATTTAGTTATGTGTCTTTGCATCTTTTCTAGTTTAGTGATGTGTTTAAGATATTTACCTGAGGGCCACTAACCCTAGTGGCTTCGATGAGGACAGGAAGCCGGCGGCTTATCGAAGGTGCCCCCCCCTCTTTTACCTTTATTTTTTTCCAGGTAGATTTTAAAACTTAACAGTTTTGGCATTTACAGCTTCAGTAGATAGGCAGTTCTATGGGTTTATAACCCTGTGGGTGAACAATCATGTCATGTTCTCTTTTCTACATAGAGGCTTGTTGAGCTTGGAACCATTGCTCCTTGTTTGTGTTACATCTGACCTTTTGAAGAAATTGTTCAGATGAACTATAATAATAATAATAATATCCAATCTCAGATATCCAGACTTATCCGAGGAAAACTCCTGAGTCAACAAAACATAACTGCTAGCCCTCCATTTCAGATACTGTACCAAGTTTAATCTATGTTTCCACGATACCTCAGAGTAGCCCAAAATATCATACAGTAACAGTCTACTCTGATTCACTTGACCACCACCAATCTCTCGCCTAGTTATATCATAATGTACGCCTCCTGGCTGCTTATTAATTCACCAATTTACACATTATCTTTTCTTAAAACTAGCCAGGAACTTACATGGTAGTGATCAATTCATCATTTATATGCCAGGCAGCAATGTAGGCTCAACTGCTTCCAGACTCTCATTGTATTCACTATCTGCTTGCAACATTATCATGTTTCACTATCTAAGACCACCCTGGTCATGAACACTAACAAGGCAGCCCGTCCTCCTAAGGTTTCCCAACGTCAAGAAACTGTCGTACTAAAGTCCCCAATCCTAACCTACCAGAGGACCTTTAGTTTAGTTTAGTTCATTTATTATGCACCCCATACCCATCTTGTGGGTATGGGGCGGTAGTGGAAATGGTTAGAGGCACATAATGGACTCGGGAACTTAACCCCACAATTCGTTTAGCTGAACAGGTTACACTCTTGATGAGCTAGTTACAAAATTCAATGCACATCGTCACATCAACATGTGGGGCTCGAGACCGACCACAAGTATATTTCCTAAATTAAGCAACCGACATCTGCAACCGACAACTGGAGAGCTAGTGTCACAATTGATATATTTGTCCTGCACACCACCCCCCCCCATCCAATGGGCAGCGGTGGACAGGTTAGAATCACTTTGCTAACTGTAGGTAGTAACTAACTGGGGATATATGACTAAGGTGGACCCAAAAACAGAAAATAGGACTATATTAATTTCAAAAACCGCTACCATTTTCTAAGACGATTTTTGTCCTTGGGTAAATTATACGTCAAAATGCGGTGCTCTATTAGGAGGACGGGTTGAACAAGAAGCAAAGGTTTAAAGCTCAACAAGCCACAATGTAGGAAACAGATGTGTTCTCATCCACTTGGTTTATAAAACTCATGGAACCGTCTACCCGCCGAAGCTGTAAATACCAAAAATCTGTTGAACTTTAAATCCAGCTAGAAAAAAATCATCAGGAAAAATGGGGCTGACCTTTGACAAGCCGCCGGCTTCCTGTTCTCGTCGAGTCGTCGAGGTCACTAGAATGTTAGTAGCCATCAGGTTCATTCAGGACCCAATCGAGAACAAGCCAACAAAGTCCCCGGGACACCATTGGACCTAATCGAGAGGCGGGACCAAAGAGCCAATTAAAGCTCATCCCCCGCAAGCACAACCAGGTGAGTACATGTACAGCATCTCTTTTTTTTTGAGATATATACAAGAGTTGTTACATTCTTGTACAGACACTAGTACGCGTAGCGTTTCGGGCAAGTCCCTGGAATACGATCCCCGCCGCGAAGAATCGTTGTTACAACCAAGTACCCATTTTACTGTTAAGTTAAACAGAGGCTACAGTTAAGGATTTGCGCCCAGTAAATCCTCCCCGGCCAGGATACGAACCCATGACATAGCGCTCTCGGAACGCCAGGAGAGTGTCTTACCACTGCACCACGGAGACTGTACTCAGCAACATTACCTCATATTTGTTAACGGAGTTCGTGTGTGTTTGGGTGTAGTGCAGCTCACTGGAGGAGACGTTTGGGTGGAGCTCCGGACGGTCGTAGACCAGCAGGAACCAAGGAGCGCTCCACAGGAGCCCCAGAGCACCAAACAGGTAGAACACCGAGGGCCACCCACCCAAGAACCCACTCTCTATGAGCACCCCGCTAGTCGACAGACACGCTGCTATACCCAACGGCACACCTATAGGGGGGAAAGACCGTGGAATAACACATTTCTTATTTTATTACATTGGAAATTTATTGTTTTTGGCTACAAATTTACCTAAATAAACATTTGATTTGATTGTTTTGCTTAAACTGTTAATTGTGGTTAAGTACATATAAACAGCCTTACGGGCTGCATTATAGATAAAATTATTTTAAATATGTACCAACTGTATTAAGAGTAATATAGTTGCTTCAAGTTCTGGATTGATTGATGAAAATTAAGCCACCCAAAAGGTGGGATGGGCATGAATAGCCCGTAAGTGGTGGTCATTTTGAGCCATTACCAGTATCAAGAACTGATACTGGAGATCTGTGGAGGTGCGACTGCACCCTGCGTGACGGGAGATGTCTCCCGTCAAGTTCTGGGTTCTATCACAGGCAATTAAATGCTCCCATTAATTTCACACTCCAAGAAGTAATGCGATAAACACTAAGGTTCTCCAGTAATCCTATGTGCACTAATTACATATAATAAATGTTCCCCAACGGTTCTACAGATCACTTAGGAACGCCAAAAGTTATCCGCGAGTTTCCCATTAGGCAAAATTATCAACTTGTCAAAAGCAATTCATGTCCAACACATTGTCAGGTGAAGCATATGATATAACATTCGACTCAAGACGTTATACAGCCTCGCTACAGAGAGCAATAACAGTCACACTCCAGCTACCAGCTGGCACCGCTCCTGTGCCAGGTATGTTACGGACTCACCATAGCCCGTGCTACTTGGAACTTGTTCCGAGTAGCTGAATCTATAACAACAACACATGTCAGCTGTAGGTGTCCCTCAAGCTCCGTCTCCGGGTAGCGTCGTGGTGCGCCCTATACCCAACTGCCAGCACCACTTAACCAACATCGTCTCGACCTATCACGACGCGACATTTTGCTTGATGGGAAACTCGCTGGTTACTTTTGACGTTCCTATACGACTTGTGGAACCGTTTGGGAACATTTATTACTTGTAATTGGTTATTGGAGAACCTTAAAGTGTTTATCGCATTACTTCTTAGAATGTGAGATTATTGGAAATATTTAATTGCCTGCAGTAGAATGTTGAGAACTTGGAGTAACTGTATTACTCTTAATACAGTAACTGTATTACTCTTAATACAGTAACTGTATTACTCTTAATACAGTAACTGTATTACTCTTAATACAGTTGATACAAATACGTATGTCATAATGCAAGTTTAATTTAGACCTCATCCAAAATGTCTTCGCCACACCTTGAAGGCTACGAAACCACATTTTCGACCCCAACTCTGGGTGGCGCTAGTTTGGTTTTACACCAAACATCTTGCTATTTTTTCTTTTGTTAACACAGATCTAAGAGTAGAGGAGCAGATGATTACTAGCAGTCTAGTTGAGCTCTCCCTTTCCTCAGTGCATTATAAGCCTTACATATAATGACCTGCCCGAAACGCTTTAATAGTGGCTTTAGGCATTGTATGTACTAGCTCCATCTATAAATCCATCAATTTATGTAAAATCTCTCGTATGTATGTACCTTACCTGAATAAACATTTTATTTTTATTTTATTTTACCATACTAGTTTTCTCCAGAGCACGAACCAATATTTCTTAACAACCAGGTCCCCAATTTACTGCTGGACAAGCGGTTAATGATCGCTTCCTAATTGTCCCTCCTCGCCAAGGTAGTACTTGTCAACTAATGCTCGCCATGAATAGGATACTGAAAGTACTATTATTAATTAATTACCTGTGACAACAAAGGCAAGAAAAGTACATCTTTCTCTTGGGGAGACCCAGACATGCAGCATGTGACTCAGTGAAGGGTACGCCAGCCCCTGTAAGTAAGTAATTATCAAAAGAAGGCACCAAACCGGGAAGGCTATGTAGCACCATCAAATGTGCAGAATAATCAGAGGGCGCTAAATGTCACCAAGACCAGCCCCTGCAAAACACCACTTATTACCAACAATTTCCAGGGACCAACAATTTCCAGGGACTTGAATTTCCAGGGACACATTCTAAACATATCTAAAAAAGTTTCAAAAACTGTGGGCATTCTTTCTAAGATCAGATATTATGTACCACGCCCTGCCCTGGTGACTCTCTATTACTCCCTTATCTATCCATATCTCAACTATGGTATTTGTGCTTGGGGCTCTACTACCCAAAATCATTTACGTCCTCTAATTACTCAACACAAAGCTGCTATTAGGACAATATCCAATTCTGGCCCCAGACATCATTCGGTACCCCTATTCAAATCCCTGAATATGTTAGACATTAAGTCACTGCACATTCTCTCATGTGTACTATACATATACAAAACGCTAAATTGTAATGCCAATCCTGATCTCAAAAGCTTCATAGAAGGTTGTAACAGAACCCATGAGCATCACACCAGAAATAAATACAGTTTTGATATTCCTAGAGTACGACTTAATCAAACCAGAAATGCTCTACAAATCAAGGGGCCCAGAATGTGGAATGACCTTCCCAACCATGTTAAAGACTGTACCTCTCTCAACCAGTTTAAGATAAAAACTAAACACTACCTAATAAATTCCCTGTAACCTACCTCACTCCTCTATTGTCAACCCATGTCCGTTATTTTCTTTTTTTTTTAATCAACACTGTTTGTCAACCTATTGTATTTGTGCTGCTTTTTCAGTCATGTTCCCCCTTTTTTTTATCTTTATTTGTATTTGTTCTCAACACTTTTTATTCTTTATGCTCAATTAGTATTAAGTTCTAGATATTAATGTTTTTCTTGCCCGAAACGCATTGCGTAATAGTGGCTTTAGGCATTGTATGTACTAGCTCTATCTATATATCAATCCATTAATGTAACATCACTTGTATGTATATACCTTACCTGAATAAACATCTGAATCTGAATCATCTAACACAATTTATACAACCACTCTTTAAGACATAACTGTAACATGCTCGTGTCCGAAGCTTAGACACATACAACAAAATTATTAATGATGGTAACAGTCCATTTCATGTGGTCTCCATCTCATGTTGGCCTCCGAATGCATGATAGAGCTGATAAGCCTCCTCTCACCAGTCAGCCCGACAGATGTGTCCATCATACACTCACTTTACCGTCTAATCTATTATTTTTAATCTATTTACCAAATGTTATTGATTTAGTGAACACATGGACAGCCTCGTTCGCCCCTGGCTAGCCGAGACCTGTTAATATGGCATACTAGTAATTCCTTTTACTTTCCGTTCTCTAAATATGTGAAGCTTGATTCTCTGCTTGCCTGTAAAGGATTTCTTCCAACATTACCTGATAGCCTCCGATCAGGACTCTGAGAGCGACGAAGGTGCCTCTGGATATGTGGGCGCTGTAGGGGACCAGGAGGGTGGTGAAGGAGGCCAGTACGACGCTCATGCCAAACACCAATCGTCCTCCCAGCAGCCGCACGACTCTGACCTCCAGGAAGCTGGTGAACAAATACCCCCAATAGACGACTCCCAGCACGAGACCCTCGCCAACTTCATCCCAGTCTGACTCTCCAGTCTGAGAAAGAGTTTTAGTTTAGTTTAGTTCATTTATTATGCACCCCATACCCATCTTGTGGGCGGTAGTGGAAAGGGTTACAGAGGCACATAATGGGCTCAGGGACTGAACCCCACAATTCATTTAGCTAAGCAAGTTACAATCTTGATGAGCTTGTTACAAAATTTAATACAAGTCATCACATCAACAATGGGTTCGAGATCGACCACAAGTACAGTTTCTAAGTTAAGCAACTGACATATGTGGAGAGCTAGTGTCACAATTGATATGTTTGTCCTGCACACCGCCCCCCATCCAGTGGGCAGCGGTGGATAGGTTACAGTCACTCAGTTACTATATTAGGCTCCGTAATATTAGGTGCAGGGTGAGATAATCGTGTTTAATTAATTCAATATCTACCAATTTAAATTAATAAACGCCTGCAGAATGTTCCCCATATTCTAGGGCTTACCGTAAGCCTTGCTTGTGACCGCCAATATTCGATCAGGTGATCTATTCTCATGCACTCAATTACTTCTGATTCAACAGGGGCAAACAGTGAATGAACTGTGTCTAATTATCCTACCCTGCGTAGGACTCGAACCTGGGTCTCCTCTCTTGCAGGACGAGTTAGCCAAGGTATTTATCAACGTTCTAAAAGTACGATTCTGATACATTCATTAAAAAGTAAATCATTCTAACAAAATACAAGTGTATCTGTCACTAGTTTGAATCGGTGCGTATACCATATAGCTCCATACCATATACTCCAGGTATACCATATAGCTCCATTATTGGTTAACTCGCCATTTCGGTCAGTTCACCATCGTTCCAATCCTCCGGAAGCGGGCATGCGTCTGGAGGTTCCTGGAGCGTGAGGTTGTCGGCGGGTCGCCTCGCCACCATAGCCAGCACAGCAATTGAGAGCGTCACACGGAGAGCGTGGGACACCGCCAGCCCCAGGAACCCCATCATGGCTAGGGTGTGGCGCGCCCCCCACCAACCTCCTCCTGAAGCACAAGAATATGGAAGGTGTTGCAGTACAGGAATATGGAAGGTGTTGCAGTACAGGAATATGGAAGGTGTTGCAGTACAGGAATATGGAAGGTGTTGCAGTACAGGAATATGGAAGGTGATGCAGTACAGGAATATGGAAGGTGTTGCAGTACAGGAATATGGAAGGTGATGCAGTACAGGAATATGGAAGGTGTTGCAGTACAGGAATATGGAAGGTGATGCAGTACAGGAATATGGAAGGTGTTGCAGTACAGGAATATGGAAGGTGATGCAGTACAGGAATATGGAAGGTGTTGCAGTACAGGAATATGGAAGGTGTTGCAGTACAGGAATACTGAAGGTGATGCAGTACAGGAATACTGAAGGTGATGCAGTACAGGAATATGGAAGGTGTTGCAGTACAGGAATATGGAAGGTGTTGCAGTACAAGAATATGGAAGGTGTTGCAGTACAGGAATACTGAAGGTGTTGCAGTACAGGAATACTGAAGGTGATGCAGTACAGGAATATGGAAGGTGTTGCAGTACAGGAATATGGAAGGTGTTGCAGTACAGGAATACTGAAGGTGATGCAGTACAGGAATATGGAAGGTGTTGCAGTACAGGAATATGGAAGGTGTTGCAGTACAGGAATATGGAAGGTGTTGCAGTACAGGAATATGGAAGGTGTTGCAGTACAAGAATATGGAAGGTGTTGCAGTACAGGAATATGGAAGGTGTTGCAGTACAGGAATATGGAAGGTGTTGCAGTACAGGAATATGGAAGGTGTTGCAGCGTGCACTTACTGGGCGGAGTGTCGGTGCTGAGAGTGAAGGGGGAGTTGACAGGTGTGGTTATGGTGATCTTTGGCTCTTCGCTGCCCCTGGCGGCCATCTTGAACACAACTCGAACTGCTCCTTGCCTCTCTCTCCTCAGACGACCACCATCTGCTCCTCCCACCTCCACCCACTCCTCGTCTTCACTTATAAACCCATCGTTGACAACACCCAGCTCCTCACTGACAACGCTTAATCCATCGTTTGCAATATCCAGTACTTTATTTGTAACACTCATTCCTTGGTCCGCAACACATGGGTCTTGGTTTGCAATACCCTGAATTTGATTTGCAACATCTGGTTCTTCACACACAAGACCTATACTTTCATTTACAACCCACACTTCTTTACGAACAACTTCCAGACCTTCGCTGTCGACACTAATGCTTTCATCACTATCAGCCGTGTTCCC